AATACTGAAGGCAGCAGAGCCTTAGAATTTAAAACTGATATCTTGACACTGGTATATATTTTAACGTGTTTATGTGAATTGAAAAAAAGTCTGCTTTTGCTGATTGATTTGATAATGAACGTTGGCTTTACCAATCAACTTTTAAGTTAGATGTTTTACATACATCGAATGAGCCAAATCTGCAGAGTAAAACTTTTAACTCTCAAAAATATGTTTAAAGCTCATGATAAGATAAAAGCATTTTAATAAATAATATTGTATTGCCAAAGGCCTATAGAAATGTTAATATTTTTATTTTGTCAACACCGAGTTAAAAAATAAAGTGCCTTGAAATGAAAGAGTTACAGTACAATTATTAATAACTGATAAGTCTTCCAAAGAGACTTTTTGGTATACTTCCCAGAAATTGAGAAAGTGAATAACTCTAACAAAAGAGGACCTAAATGAATTGCCTGATGATAGATCATAAAAAATAATTTTTGATGATAGAGTACTACATGACTTTTAGCATATATCTTGAAAGATCAAAGATTTGAGTGGCATTGCTACTACAAAGCATTCACCATAATCATCTACTTATTTGAAAATATTTTTTCAGTGTTTATGTCTATAAAAACTAAAACAGAACTGATGCTGAATCCTGACTTACCTAGCAATAATTAATATTCCTCTACTAACATGTGAACTATAGACAAAAAATAGCGCCATTCATCTCACTAAACGATACATTTCCATAAAAATATGTCATAGGAGGTTATATCAGACTAATCCTTTTATAGATAAAAGTTATAAACAGGATAAAATATAAAAGCAATTATTTGAAGATGATGGAATATAACCAAAGGCTGGCAGGCAGAATTTGAAGGGATGCACACTCTGCAAAGAACTGAAATGCACCCAGTATGATTTATGCTCATACATCTTTTTATCTAGGGGCACTACTCAGTCTGCACTGTGAAAGTCAGCTGGAATTCAGAAAGCCACAATCTTAATGGATAGGAATTAAAGGATGGAGCCTGGGGTTCTCAGAGCAGCTGGAAGTTGAGGATGGAAATCCTGGAAAGAAAGGAGTAATAGAAGCAAAGCACTCCAAAATCTACACATACGCTCTACCTAAATCCTTGGTTCACACCTGAACTCTATGTGCATGGGGTACAAATTAACTACTTACTAGAATACATCAACATTCATCAGAGGAAGATAACAATACAATAAAAATTAACATATATATAAAGGAATAGGAAAGTATGACTTATAGTCCAGAGAAAAATATGTCAATAGAAAGTGACTCCAAGATGATTCAGATGTAAAAATTAGCAAAGACTTAAAAATTTTTTTTAAATTGTTTTTAATGCAGCCAAATATATCCATATTTTCCTTTGTGGTTTGTGCTTGTTGCACAGCTTTTAAAAAAAAAATCCTTGCTTGCCTCATATCTCCTGTTTTCTTTTATTTTTCTTATTTATTTAAAAAAATTTTTTTCTAATGGGAATTGAACCTTGTGCATTCTAAGCACACACTCTACCACTGAGTTATATCCTTCCCTTTAGCAAAGACTTTTAAAGAGTTATTATTTTACATATATTCAAGGTCTTTGAAAAATATATGGTCGCAATTAATTAACAGATGGAAAATCTCAGCGGAGATATAGAAACTCTAAAAAAAGAAACAAATGGAAATTCTAGAACAAAAAGTAGAATATTTGAAATAAAAAATCCATGGGGTGGGGCTTAACAGCTAATTTGAAATGGCTGAAGGGTTGGTAAACTTAAAAACAGATTAAGAGAAATTATTTGATCTGAAAAACAGAGACAAAAACTATTGAGAAAAATGATCAGAGCCCTTCTGACTTTTAGGATAATAGTAAAGAGTCTTAACATACATGCAATAGGAATCATAGAAAGAAAGGGAAGAGAGGATGGGGCAGAAAATTTTTTGAAAAAATAATGGCTGAGATTTCCCCAAATTTGATGGAATATATGAACTCACAGATTAAGGAACCCAGCAAAACCCAAGCAGGATATATAAGAAGAAATTCACCTGATGATCATCATGGTCAAATTATTTTAAAAAATGAAGATAATGAAAAAACTCTTAAAGGCAGCTAGAGAAAAATGACATAATACAAATTGGGTGGGTCAGCAGAGGGACATGATTCAGAAACAATGAAGTCTAGAGGACAATGGAATCATATTTTTAGAGCCGAATTTGGAGGTGGGGGCAGGGGGCAACATCAATCCAGATTCTGTATCTGGAGAAAATATTCTTTGAAAATGATGGTGAAATAAAGATAATTTCTGATAAATGAAAACAGAACTTATCACCAGCAGATATGCATTACAAGGAATGCTTTAAAAAAATTCTTTAAAGGGAAGGGAAATGATAGTTGATGAAAACTCGGATCTATGGGAAAGAATAAAGGGCACTGGAAATGGTAAATATGTGGATAAATAGAAAAGAATATACATTTAAAAAATTCCTTTAAAAGACGTGATTGTTCAAGGCAAACATTATTCACTGTATTTAAATATATATAAGTCTAATATATATATAACAACAAGAACATAAAGGATGAAGGATAAACAGAAATACACTTTTGCAATGTTCACTTTACATCAGTTACTGCAATATGAGGTCTATGTCCATTGAGACAATTTAAGGATGCATACAGTAAGTGCTAGGGTAAGCACTAAAAATTAATGTAAAGAAGTTTCACAGAAAGTCAATAGAGGAATTAAGATGAAATATAAGGAAATATTGATTAATTCAAAAAGAAAGCAAGAAAAGAGGAACAGAAGAACAAAAAAGGGATGAAACAAATAGAATACAAATTGCAAACAATAGTAGACCTAAATCCAACTACATTAATCTTTAATGTATAGACTAAAAACTCCAAGAGGCAGAAATTATCAGACTGGATTTTTCTTTTTTTAAATCAAGAACCAACTACAAGTGTTCTATAAGAGATACAGACATATTAAAGGCACAAATAGAATAAAAAGAAAAGGAAAAAAGATTTATCAGGCAAACAGTAAACATTAAAAAAGGTGGGGTGGTTATATTAATATCAGACAATGTAGAATTCAAGCCAAGAGTATTAAGAGAGATAAGGAGTGAACGTTTATAAAAGAAAGAAAGAAAAGGAGAAAGAAAGGGTTAAATTATCAGGAAGACTTGAAAGCCTAACAGAAGACATAAAAGTCCTACATATATGCACCTAGTAACACAACTTCAAAATGCATAAAGGCAAAACTCACTAAACTAAAAGAAGAAATAGACAAATCCACAATCACTGTAAGTGTAATATTCTCTCTCAGTGAGTAATAGAACTAAATTTAAAAATCCATAAGGATATAGTTAGAATAACACTATCAATACTTAACTGATTTTTATAGAAATAATTGACAGTTATATAACCACTCATTTGCAGAATGCACATTCTTTTAAAAATGCACATGGGATGTTCACTAAGGCAGATAATATGCTGGATTATGAAATAAGTCTCAATAAATTCCAAAAGGTTGAAATCATAGTGTCTCTTTTCTAGACACAACAGAATTAAATTAAAAGTCAGTAATAATATCTAGTGATTATTTTGCAGTACACATAAATATTAAATCACTATGTTGTGTTGTACTGTGTTTTACACCTGAAACTAATATAATGTTTTATGTCAACTATACTGCAATAAAAAAATAATATATAGAAAAACCCCTGAATTTTTGGAAATTAAAAAACACACTTCAAATAAGTGAGTTAAATAAAAAATCATAAGGGAAATTTAAAAGTATTTTGAACTGAATGAAAATGAAAGCACAACATATCAGAAATTGTGGAATGCAGATAAAGCAGGGCTTAGAGGGAAATGCATAGCTTTAAATGCTTATAATTTAAAAAAAAATAGAAAAGACCAGAATCAATAATGTAATCTTCTGCTCTAAGTAACTAGAAAAGAAGACGAAATCAAATCACAAATAAGTAGGAAGAAGGAAATAATAAAGAGCAAAAGTCAATGAAGTAGAGAACAGATAATCAATGGAATCATAAGATGGCTTTTTGAAAATATTAAAAATTTGTGTAAACTTCTAGCTAGATTAGTCAGAAGAGAAGGAAAATGCAAACTCCCAGTATGAGGAATGTCTTAAAAATGACAAGGTCCTGGCCCTCATGAACTTCTGACAGGGAAACGAATGTTAAACAGTCATACAAGAAAATATATAGGCATAGGTTGTGGTAAACTAGGAGACAGTTCTGCAGGGAGGGAGGGGCCGACCTGGGTTGGAGAGGGGCACCTCTGCAGAGGTAAGTTAACTTCTCCCACCCTAACGCTCCGCGAGGAGTAACAGCACCCCCGCGTCTTCCAGGTCCCTGGAAGGCAGGTGCGCCCCCGCCCTGCGCGCCGCGTCCCACGCTCCCACCCCGCCCCCGCCCCCGCCGCCCCGG